CTCATCACCTCAAATAGGATTCATGAATAGTAATTCATATCAAGACAAGTTGTGCTGATAACGTGTTGTAAAATAAAGAAAGAATCAATTAGAAGAAGAAGAAAAATTAGAGAGACAAAGTGAGGCAATGCAAAGATATATTATATTTCTATTTCTTTCTTCTTCATTTATTCTCTATTTGTTCTCTATACATTTCTAAGAGTACAAACCCTATATATAAGGGCCAATAGATGATAGGAGTTATAAGGAATAAACACCCATTAAATTAGAGGTTATAAGGATTAGTCTCTTACTAATGGAGGGGTTACAGAATTTCATTATCATCATCTAAATGCATGTCATTATGGGGTGTTAATCACTATTGTAATTGCATGGAGATAGTAGAAGTTACACCAATACTTAATATGTAAATGCAATGAAAAGTGAGGAGGTGGGAGGAAAAAGAAGGTGAAATATCCATAATGAATTAATTTATAACAAGACATAAATAAATACTCCATCAATACCAAAACAATTGCAAATTTTGTTCAAATTAATTATCATGTTTCAATTTTTGATTTTTTATGAGATCAATTTAAAATTTTTTGAACGTATAAAAATATATTTTTTCCTAATTTAATCACATGGTTATCACTTTACTTTAATTATCCATTTTATCATTAAAAAGTTCTATTTATCTTTATTTTTTCTTAAGAGTAACATACATAAAAGGGTAATTATATATGTACAACCTATTTCTATAACTTTTTCTATAACCTTCATATATTATTAAATAAATAAATATATACCTGGTCTGAGTAGAGTGAAAGAGCTCATTATTAAATGATATGTAAGAGTGTATGAAAAGTTGTACAATAAAAATTGTCTCTTAATTATTTTTCTATGTAAAAATATAAATTGTTTTCAAAGTTTTAATTTTGGGAAAAAAAAGTCAAAAAATGATGGTGGGAGTAGACAACAAGAGTAGATATTAGTACAATATAAACACTTAGAAAAAAGAAGGTGACGCCATCACATAATGACCTCTCAACAAAACTAATGAATCCAATGAAATTCTTGTGATCGTACACCCTAGAACTAATGGACAACTTTCAATTTACTCTAGCACGATCTTTCCACTTTGGTGGCTTGAAAATCCTTTTTTTATATATATATATATATATGGATCACCTAGTATTCTAAAGCCATCTGGGTTACTAACTAATTTGGATTCGAATCGAACAAAACTTAATGGACGGCAAAACTCTTTCTCACAAGTTTTAACGAAACTATATTTTCAAGTCTTAAAATTAAGATTTCTGATTAAATTAGAAGAGTTTCCTATCAAATCATCCACTAGCTCAATCTTAAAAATCCATATTGACAAATTAGAAAACTTTTTCTACCTCTCCGCTTATTTGTACAAAAAGAAGTAAAGGCAAAGAAGGAAAAAAGAGCTAGAAAAAAGAAGGACAAGTGAAAGAAAAACCGTGCTATGTAGATGGTGAAGACAAAAGAAACAGAAAGAAAAGATTTGGGCGTTTTTGGAAACCAGGATTCTTAGGAAACCTTTTCTTGGAAAGCCAAGCTCGGCTTGGGAATCCTGATACAAAATTCAAGAGGGTTGATAAGGGGCTACAATGATATATATAACCAATTACGAGAGATTAAAAACGTAAGTTTTTAAGGAAATGGTTTCATGCAAAATACTCAGGAAGATTTCTTTCTCGTAAACTTGTCTTTTTTTGCTATTGTAACAGGTTATAGTGACTTATAATCTCTATTTTATTACCTCTTGAATTTTGTATTGGGATTCCCAAACCAGGCCAAGGGAAAGGGCTGAGTCCATATTATGATTGAGGAAACATTTTCCTAAGAAACTTTTTCTTGAGAATCTTGGTTTTCAAACAAGCACATCAAAGAAGAAATAGAGGGGAAAGAAAGAGAAAGAAAGAAGAAGAAAAACATTGAGTCGAAGAGAGGTTAGGAGAAGAAAGACAAGGGACGGAGAAAAGAGAAGAATTTGTTAAAGAAACCTGGATACAAAGCATCAAGGCTAATAGAAAACTCCAGAAGCTCGGAGAAAGCTTATGAGAATGAGACGTAAATGCATTATTTTAATTAGAACTTAGTTTTATAAAAACTTTTATGGATAATATAAAATTATAAATAAATCAAATCTTTTACAATTTGTTTGGTTTACAACTTTTGGCAAAAATTGGTATTTCAAAAGTTGCTAATTTAATCATTCATTAAGAACTATTACTCAATCAGAATAAGTACTTAGTTAATTAATCATTACTCAATGTAACAGGTATTTAATCGACTAACTTTTAACTTTTTAAAAAAGTTATTTCTTAAATTTAAAAAAAGTATATTCTCAAAAAGGTTCAGATTTACTTTACTAAATTGAGTTTGAACTTGCGACTAAACTTTTTAAGGCAACATGAAATTAAATAACTTATACCAATCAAAATATAATAATTTAAAAAAAAAATTTGAAATCAACTCAAAATTAAAATTACACCAATCAATATGATTTATAATCATTTGATATAAAAAGTTAGGTGTAATAGAACAAAGTAATTTTAGGGAAAAAAAAAAAAAAACAATTCAAGTTACAATGCAAGCCAGTGTCACTGACAGAGAAAGTAAAGAAGACTCCAATCCATAGATGGACGGTCGAAAAATCCCAAAATCTCCCGCTTGATAAAAATTTCCCGCCATAAGGTATATTTCAAATAAGAGAAATCTTCTTTTTTTCATCAGATTCCTTAGTCCAGATTGTCAAATTAAAAACGTTGCCAAAAAAATACCTATCTAGGGTTACGTCGCTTCGCTTCTCGCCAAAAAAACACTCTATAAAATCAACACCAGAGATGGGGTCTGCCTGTGTCTTGAATCCTGCTGAAGAGAACGACGACGACTCCGGTGAGCTTCTTCTCCTTTGATTTCTATGTTTTCTGTGTGATCGGTAGTATCGGTCGGTACTGGCATTGCTGTTCCATTACCGACATGGTTTGGTCGGCTGTCGACTGCCGGTTTTTCGCATACGGTACGGTGTTGGCAACGATTTTCCATTAGAGCAGCGGCAATCGAGATTTTGGGCGGTTCGGTTGCCAACCGATCGATCGCCCAGCCGTACCGTGTGTGGATAAAGAAAGGAAGTAGCAGAAATGTTCATTTCGTTAGTTTCGATTTTTCTCTTTATATATATATATATATATATATGCATATATATAGATTTAATGTTTATATAGAAGCTTAGAGATTTAGAGACGATCTAGATTTTTCTTTCTTTGTTCTTGAATTGATAAACCCAAAGATCTTAATTTTGGAATATATATTTTGTTTTGCTTAAAATGTTAATTTTAGGGGCTTTTGAGTGTTATTTTTTCGGTTTCTTGGAGTGCATGACTAATTCAAACAATCCTCAAATGAACTTGGACAGAGAGAAGTAGAATCTAGGTGTCAATTCATGCTAAATCACATATATACCATCTTTATTTTTTTTATTATATCATTGGTTTCTTAATTTAAATCTTTTGACAATGGATTCGGGACATCACATGGTCAACTTGTAGCTTAGAACTTTGAAATGAAGCATTTAATGGAGGGAAATACATAGCTTATTTGCTTTTGCAATTGAATTTGTTTTGAAGTTTAGGATATGAGTAAGAAAACCGGTAATTAAAAAACGGTTACCTTACTGGAAGTTCTATTTGTAATTTTGTATATATGGAAACATCATCTAATACTCCTTTGAGTAGTGCTAGGGGCACGCGCCTCTTGCACTCTCCACCCAACCCTTCCACTTTCATTGGGCCACATAAGCTTGCTTTAAGCTTTGAAATGCAACCTCTTAAAAACCAAGATAACGTGGCCCAGTAAAAGTGAAAGTGTTGGGCAGAGAGTGCAGGAGGTGAGTGCCCCTAGCACTGCTGTACTCCTTTAGATCATTACTGTTATATGCATAGCATATTTTGTATTGTCTCATTGATTGCTTACTTTTTAGGATTTTTGTTCAATGGATTTGGATGTCCAAACTTGTGATGGCATGTGGTCTGTGATTATGAGTAGTTTAGGCCTTGGAGATCAAACATTTAATGCAATGGAGTACTTAGCTCTGCAAACGTTTGTTATGAAGTTTTGGGGTTTTATTTGTTTATTTACTTTTTATAGTGAAGTTCTGGGTTTGGACTGCATTTAATTACCAGCAAGATGACTGGTAACTAAAAAAACTGTGCACAATTCTAATATCTTGTAGCTTGAAGTATTAACTGTATATTGAAACATCATCTAGTCCTCTTTATATTGATATTGTTATTGTTATTGTTTCACTTAAGTCTCGTTTCAAGAATGTTTAGTAAAGTATAGTAAGTAATTCATGTTAGATGAATCTATATGAGATTCCTGTATTTTGTGGTTTTCTCACGTGTTTCCTTTTTCATTTCAACTTTCTTGAATGGTTTCTGATGGAATCTAATAATTTATTTTGCATCCATTATTTCATATTCCTATTGTTCTGCTTGTGAATTGCATGTTTCTTTATCCTGCATACTAACTGCACACTTTATTATAGGAATGGCAAAAATGGGTAAAGGTAAAGCAAAGCCTGCAAAGTCTGATTTAAACAAAAGAGCTTCCAATATTTCAGATGCCAATGGACAATCAAAGAAGAGAATTAGATCTGACAACGTTGAAAAGATGCCTGGTTCTCGGAAAATGCCAAGGCGAGCAGCTGCCTGTTCAAATTTCAAGGATAAATCTTTTCGTTTATCAGAAAAGTCTCTGCTTGTTGAGACAAAAAGGCTAGTTGAAGTGGAAGATGAGGTTGCAGCCATAGCTTTGACTTCTGTACAGGAAGAAGGTCGACCAACCAGAAGACTCACTGATTTCATCTTTCATGATGCTAATGGAAATCCACAACATGTTGAGATGTTGGAAGTAGATGATCTCTTTATTTCAGGTGCTGTCTTGCCTCTGGAACAATGTTCTGATAAAGAGAAGGAAAAAGGTGTCAGATGTGAAGGTTTTGGTCGAATTGAATCTTGGGCAATATCTGGGTATGAAGATGGTGAGCCAGTCATTTGGGTCTCCACTGATCTTGCAGATTATGATTGTCTGAAACCTGCAAATAGCTACAAAAGGATGTATGATCTATTTTATGAAAAGGCTCGTGCTTGTGTGGAGGTTTACAAAAGACTGTCAAGGAGTTCTGGGGGTAACCCTGATTTGAGTGTTGACGAACTGATTGCTGGTGTTGTCCGTTCAATGTCTGATAGTAAGAATTTTCCTCATGGAACATCCATCAAGGATTTCATCATTTCACAGGGTGAATTTATCTATAATCAACTAATTGGTTTGGATGAAACCTGCAAGAAAAATGATCAGGCGTTTATGGATTTACCTGTGTTAGCTGGACTTCGGGATGAGAGTAAAATGCAGCGTGGCTTTGTGCCTGGAGGAGGGACTACATCAGGCAGGGTGCCAAATACCAGTCTGAAAATTGGTGATGGTGACCAAATTAATCAGTCTATTTCATCTGCTGGTATAACAGAAGAAGACGAGGACATGAAATTGGCTAGGTTGCTGCAGGAAGAGGAATATTGGCAATCAATGAAACAGAAAAAGAGTCGGCGTCCTGTTGCTTCATCAAACAAGTACTATATTAAAATAAATGAAGATGAAATCACCAATGACTATCCCCTTCCATCATACTACAAGAGCAGTATCCAAGAAACGGATGAGTATGTCATCTTTGACAATGATATGGAAACAAGCAATCCTGATGATCTTCCTCGTAGCATGCTCCATAACTGGTCTCTTTATAACTCTGACTCTCGCCTGATTTCTTTAGAGCTCCTCCCAATGAAACCTTGTGCTGATATTGATGTTACCATTTATGGATCGGGCATTATGACATCTGACGATGGCAGTGGGTTCTGCCTAGATGGCGATCCTGCACACTCCTCTTCTGCTGGAGTTCAGAATGTGGATGGAATTCCAATTTATCTGAGTGCAGTGAAGGAATGGGTGATTGAGTTTGGAGCCTCAATGGTTTTTATTTCAATTCGAACTGATCTGGCCTGGTATAATGGATTTTTCCCTTTACTAGCTAGAAATTCATTGATAGATTTAGTTTATTCCAGCATTAACTTCCTTTTCCTCTTTTTGTGGTAGTAATTTCTCATTACAGAATGCCATTTCAAGTACTTTTGCTTAGATGTATCCTTAGAATTCTTAGCCCAAAAGGGAAAGATTTTCATTTATTTCTGTTTACTGTACTTGTCAGGTATCGGCTTGGAAAGCCTTCAAAACAGTATGCACCTTGGTATGAAACAGTTCTAAAAACAGCACGGCTTGCCATTAGTATTATTACCATGTTAAAGGAGCAGAGTCGAGTTGCTCGGCTGTCTTTCGGTGATATAATCAGAAAAGTTTCTGAATACGGGAAGGACCACCCTGCTTTTATATCCTCCAATCCAGTTGCCGTGGAAAGATATATAGTGGTCCATGGACAGATTCTGTTACAGCAATTTGCAGAATTTCCTGATGATAATATCAAAAAGTGTCCTTTTGTGTTTTCTCTTCAGGAAAAAATGGAGCAAAGGCATCATACAAAGTGGTTGGTGAAGAAGAAGATGGTACTAAAGAAGGAAGTTAATATGAATCCAAGAGCAGCTATGCAGCTGGTGGTATCCGGTAGGAAAGCTATGCCAGCAACAACAACAAAATTGATTAACAAGCTTTGGGGTGAGTACTACTCCAATTACTTGCCTGAAGATTCAAAGGAGGCAGATGCTTGCGAACTGAAAGAGGATGAAGAAATTGATAATGATCAAGAAGAAAATGGTGAGGAAGATTCTGATGAGATTGAAGAGCAAAAAGTTCAAGTTGATGGAGAAATTAGAAAAGCTTGCTCAACCAATAAACCAAAAAAATCTCTCTCTTCAACTAAAGATATTATATGGCATGGAGAAATAGTGGGGAAGACCTCTCTTGGTGAGTCTCTTTACAAACAGGCTTTTGTTCATGGAGATTTGGTTGTAGTCGGTGGCTTTGTGCTCTTGGAGACAGTGGAAGATGAGCTTCCTCCTATTTACTTGGTAGAGTATATGTGTGAAAAAGATATGAAAAAAATGGTTCATGGTCGATTGATGATCCGGGGATCCCAAACTGTTTTAGGCAATTGTGCAAATGAGAGAGAGCTATTCCTCACCAATGAGTGCTTAGATTTTGAGCTTGAAGATGTGAAAGAAGCTGTGGTGGCTGAAATTCAGAAATTACCTTGGGGACATCAGCACCGGAAGGCCAATGCCCTCAAGGACAAAGCTGATCGTGAGCGAGCTGAGGATAGAAAAAGGAAGGGTCTGGCAATGGAATATTATTGTAAAAGTCTGTACATGCCTGAGAGAGGTGCTTTCTTTTGTATTCCAACAGAGACTATCAGCCTTGGCAATGGATGTTGCAGTTCGTGTACAATAAAGGCCACTAAGAGGGATGAAGAGACCTTTAACTTGGATTTGTCAAGAAAAGCTTTTACATTTGAGGGAACTCACTACAGTAGTGAAGATTATGTTTATCTGGCTCCTCAGTATTTTGAAACAGAAGTGAAGGACCATGAGACATTTAAGAGTGGTAGAAATGTAGGGTTGAGAGCTTATGTTGTTTGCCAATTGCTTGAGATTGAAGCATCTAACAAGTCAAACAAGGCTAGCCCTGAATCTACTAAGGTTAAAGTGAGGAGATTCTTCAGACCAGAAGACATTTCACTAGAGAAAGCCTACTGCTCTGATATTCATGAAGTAAGTATTCTCCAAACAATTAGAGCAAGGAATGGCTACCGTTAATTACTCATATTTCCTGAATTGGTTGTGTGATCTCCTATTTGACATGCAATGTTGAATTTTTCAGGTTTATTACAGTGAACAAACTTTGGTTGTGCCAATTGTAGCTATAGAAGGCAAGTGTGATGTCAGAAAGAAGCAAAATCTCCCATCTTCAGATAGCCCTGCTATCTTTGAGCATATCTTCTTTTGTCAACATATGTATGATCCTGATAAAGGAGCTATCAAGCAGGTAGTTTATTCTTTTCCATTTCTATTACATATAAACAGTTTGATCACCTGGTTACTAATACAATGAATCATTAATTCCTACCTTTGTTTTGGCCTTATGTTTAATAATATGCAGATTTTTTTCCCTTTTTTCTGATGACTAATTACCACATTTATTACAGTTGCCAGCTAATGTCAAGCTGAGTTTAGCTAAAGAAAAGGTTTTTGATGACGCTGCAAATCGAAAGAAAAAAGGAAAGTGTAAAGAAGGAGAAAATGATTCTGATGGTGCTGATAAACAAACAGATGCTGCCCAAAAGAATTGCCTGGCTACCCTAGATATTTTTGCTGGCTGTGGTGGCTTGTCTGAAGGTTTACAGCGTGCAGGTATCTCATTTTACTTGTATAAATCATCCCCTGAATGGCTCAGCTTTTGTTTCTGTTATCTTAATAACAAATGGATGATATTTATTGAACACTTACAGGTGCGTCACTAACAAAGTGGGCAATTGAATACGAAGAACCTGCAGGAGAAGCATTTAAACTTAATCATCCAGAGGCCTTGGTGTTTGTTAATAACTGCAATGTGATTTTAAGGTGGGTTATTTCTTTAAACTTCTAAGTAAGATCTATTTTTGTCATGGTCTTCTTTCTAGTTTTGATGATGTCATCAAGAACTGTTGTTGAAACCTTTTTCTATCTTTCACTAAACTTATTGATGATATGTCAGGGCCATCATGTCAACCTGTGGGGATGATGATGATTGTATATCAACTTCTGAAGCAGCAGAGTTGGCAGCAAAACTCGATGAAAAGGAAATTAACAACCTGCCTCGTCCTGGACAAGTGGACTTTATCAATGGAGGTCCTCCTTGTCAGGTATGAGCTTTCACTGGCATTTCCAGAATCTGACACTGAAGCAATTTCATTGATGAACAAAGAGACTTAAACTTAATTCTAAAAGGTTTCTTTCTGGTTCTCATTTGCAGGGCTTCTCTGGGATGAATAGATTCAACCAAAGCACATGGAGTAAAGTTCAATGTGAGATGATATTAGCATTCTTGTCTTTTGCAGAATATTTTCGACCTAGGTTTTTCCTTCTGGAGAACGTGAGGAATTTTGTATCATTCAACAAGGGGCAGACATTTCGGTTAACTCTTGCTTCACTCCTCGAGATGGGTTATCAGGTAGGTGGAGTTCTTTGTATTCACATGGCATGAATGTGTCACTCTTTTAATGTGGAGTCTAGGTCCTGTGTTATTGTCCATTCTATAGATGTCTGTTTAAATTGTTGTAGGTGAGGTTTGGCATTTTGGAAGCTGGAGCCTATGGTGTTTCCCAATCTCGTAAACGGGCATTTATATGGGCAGCTTCTCCTGAGGAAATACTCCCTGAATGGCCTGAACCAATGCATGTATTTGCTAGTCCTGAGCTGAAAATCACTTTATCTGGAAATGCCCAATATTCTGCTGTTAGAAGTACTTCAAATGGTGCTCCTTTCCGAGCAATAACTGTTAGAGATACAATCGGAGATCTCCCGGCTGTTGGAAATGGGGCTTCTTTAACAACGATGGAAGTGAGATTTTCTTGCCTACATTTGATACACTCTTTTTGATCATTCCAGCCCCTGGATTTTTAATTTCCTTTTTTGCTCTAATCTTGTACAGTACAAGAATGAACCATTTTCTTTCTACCAAAAGAAAATACGAGGGGATATGCTGGTTTTGACAGATCATATCTCCAAGGAAATGAATGAACTGAATTTGATTCGATGTCAGAGAATCCCCAAACGCCCAGGTGCTGATTGGCGTGACCTTCCAGATGAAAAGGTATATGCCCTGTGGGTTTAAAATCCAACGAAGTCTTGATTTCTTCCAAAATTCTTTCACTTTGAGGAAAATATTGGGAGAGTGTATCTTCTTCTTCCCTCTTAAAATTCGCTAATTCTTGGTGGCTTTTGTTTTTCTGTAGGTTCGGTTGTCCACGGGACAAATGGTTGATTTGATACCCTGGTGCCTGCCAAACACAGCCAAAAGGCATAATCAATGGAAAGGCTTGTTTGGAAGGTTGGATTGGGAAGGAAACTTCCCAACCTCAGTAACCGACCCACAACCAATGGGTAAAGTTGGGATGTGTTTTCACCCTGATCAAGATAGAATCATAACAGTCCGTGAATGCGCTCGTTCGCAAGTAAGTGTGCCCCTAAAGCTTTCTGATTTTGATAAAACATCTATAATTATGTACGTATATTCTGAGTCAACCACGATAACTAACCATTAAAATGCTGTCTCCAACTTGCAGGGGTTCCCAGATAGCTATAAGTTTGCAGGTAACATCCAGCACAAACATAGGCAGATTGGGAACGCTGTTCCTCCTCCATTGGCTTTTGCATTGGGGAGGAAACTCAAGGAAGCTATAGAGTTGAAACGCTCAACATAAGGTTTTGTCTGTTTGTACTGTAATGAATTCCCTGCAAGGGTTATAGGATTTAACATCTGAAAATGTCAATGTAATTTTCGGTCAATTGAACAACTTCTGCTTTTCGGGTGCTTGGCAGAAAATTGTAAAGATGGTGCCTGGCACATCCCCTCTTTTTCACCTCAAACTAAATGTCTTGTAATCTTTTTGGAATTTAAATGCGATACAGGTATCATTTTCTTGCGCCCTTGTATGGCTTTTGAATAATTGTCTTCCCAAAACTAGTAATTTTATTTTTTATTAATAATTTAATCAAGTATTTTACATAACTTAATTTCTTAAAAATTCTATCTTTTGGAGGTGTATAAATCTTATGATTTTTGTTTTCTATAATTTCATTATTTTAGTTGTATTTCATCATTGACCAACCTGTGTTTTTGTTTCCTATAAATTCCCTTCAATTGTATTTTCCCCAACATAGTCCCTAGGCCACTCCTTGCATAGAGCCTTATCTTTCCCCGGTTTTCCTCCCGTCCATCCCTGAAACAAACCATGGCATCGAAGGACTACACACCGGCATCTCAAGTGCTCTTGGTAGCGTTTTCCGCGCAGGGTCACATTAATCCCATGCTTAGACTCGGCAAACGCCTAGCCTCTAAAGGCCTCCACGTTACACTCGCCACCACTGAAATCGTCCGCCACCGCATGTTCAAATCCCCCACCACCACCACCCATTCAATCTCCGGCATCCAGCTTCTCTTTTTCTCCGACGGATTCACCCTAGACTACGACCGCAAAACAAATTTAGACCACTACATGGACACCCTAGGCATGGTTGGACCCGTAAACCTCTCCAACCTCATCAATGACCATTACCACAACCTCCACAAGAAGCTATCTTGCATCATTAGCAATCCCTTCGTCCCCTGGGTGGTCGATGTTGCCGCCGACCATGGCATCCCTTGCGCCATGCTCTGGATCCAACCCTGTTCTCTTTACGCCATCTACTACCGCTTTTACAACAATCTGAACCCATTCACTACCGAAGTAACAAGCACAACGTTGTCAACAAATGACTCCGAATCAACAATCGATGTGCCTGGTTTACCTTTGCTACACACGGAGGATTTACCAACGTTCGTTCTTCCTTCAAATCCAGTGAGTAGCTTATCTCGATTGCTTTCTGATTTGATTCTAAACTTGAAGAAGCACAAATGGGTGCTGGCGAATTCGTTTTTTGAGCTAGAGAAAGAGGCGACTGAGTCAATGGATGAGATCTGCCCAATAATCCCAGTTGGTCCTCTTGTACCTTCTTCACTCCTCGGTGAAGATCAGGATGTCGAAGACGGAGCTGGTATCGATCTGTGGAAGCCAGAAGAAACCTGCTTGGATTGGCTAGAAAATCAAGCACCTTCGTCGGTTATCTATGTTTCCTTCGGCAGCCTTGCCGTGTTGCCAGCCAAGTTAATGGAGGCTATAGCAACGGCTCTAAAGAACACGAAGCACCCATTTTTATGGGTAGTTAAGAAACCGGAGGGCTCGCCAGGTAACGGCGCCGGAGAGCTTCCACCGGAGTTTGAAGAAGAAACAAAAGGTCAAGGCCTTGTGGTGTCATGGTGTCCGCAAACAAAAGTCTTAGCTCATCCTGCCATTGGATGTTTCATTACTCATTGTGGATGGAATTCTTTACTGGAAACATTCTCGGCCGGTGTTCCGGTAATTGGGTACCCGCAGTGGAGCGACCAGCCGACCAATGCCAAGCTCGTAGTGGATGTTTTCAAGGTTGGTCTGAGGCTTAGGCCTAGCTGTGATGGGGTTTTCACTGCTGAGGAAGTAGAGAAATGCCTAAAAGAAATCATGGGTGGATCTAAGTCAGAACAGTTGAAGAAAAATGCTGCAGAACTGAAGCGAGCGGCCAGGGAGGCGGTGGCGGCCGGTGGCTCCTCTGATCGGAATATTCAGTTGTTTGTGCAGGAGATTCTTGGGAGTGATGGGACTTCTGCAGAAGGTAGCGCGGAGCCGTGAAGCAATGGAATTGAGG